GAGAGCGAGAGCGAGAGCGAGAGCGAGAGCGAGAGCGAGAGCGAGAGAGAGAGAGAGAGAGAGAGAGAGAGAGAGAGAGATCTGTGGTTGACATAATTGTCTTTTTTAAGGTCATCATTTTTGTTATTTGGATGATTAATATATAAGTATGCAATTAGCTAAAGCTGAGTATAGATGTATTTTCTACAATGGTATTGACGCACTCTTCCGCTTGTCCAACCTAAGGTGTAAGGTGGGTTTCGCTAGGAGTTGGACAATGCTGATGATGAAGTTAATGTGAGGCTGAAGTCAAAAGTACCCCTTCTGCTCTGTCACTCTGTTCTTCATCAGCAGAACGGTCAACACGGCAACACATTTTTTTATCATGTTCTGTCGATTTAAGTACAGCAAATAACATGATAATTGACATTCCATTGGACTCTGTGATTTAAGTGTTTTTCTTCACACTTTAGTTTTGAACGTTAGACTTTAAACTACCTCTTCGCCAGGACGGGAATTCATAGAAAGTGAATTTCCTTCCCTCGTAATATGTACCAATACGTGGCACACATGTGAGTTCCAACACGCCATTCGCTGATATTCTCTAGTGTATAGAGCCATGCTCTAGAAATATTTAGCGAGCTTCTCTATCTAGTGTTACTCCGTTTAACCGGCTATCATCCCATTCGCCAATATAGCAAGCCCAAGCATTGCTACTGTCATATGCAGCTACATTCAGGTAAACTGCGTGCTTACAGTACAGTCTAGAGTAATATTTTAAAATAAAATCGTAAAGCATCAATTAATAATATGGTTGCCACGCAATATTAGTCGTGACACGTTTATTAAAGGTTGTTTCGAATCGCCGTGACCTGGCGACGTTAAAGGCATAATAGGTCCATTGATTATGCAATGTTGACGAATGCTAGAGTAATCACGGATGCTCGTGATAATGAAGTAGGCTGTGTTGGGGCCAACACTATGGGGGGATCGCGGACTAACCACGGCCACAGACTATACATGGAAAGCAGATGGCACTACGCGTATTTACGTATATTGGTCAAACGAATACACCTGTGTCCGAAATTGAAGACATGTGGGTACCCATTCAATTAGCACCCACGGTTACTTACTTGTGCCTCAATACCGAGAATACACCCAGAGATACATTCAACTAGCTCATTAGTCATGATATAAGCATCCCGGGACAAACAATTCTCTGCTCAACACCCGTAGCAACATGTGACGTCACCTAACCGAATTCGAGGCTATTTTGCTTGGCAACCAATTTAGCGTTGGCGCCAGATTACCAGATTTACGGATTTCAATTAGACATTCTTAGTAATTAGCAGTGATATTGGACAAACTGATACGCGTATGGCTATAAGGTAATGTACTTATTAACTACACAAGGTGCCAGTTACTGTAGCATTCGTCAACTTTGCATAATCAATGAGCCTATTATGCCTTTAAACACCAGCGACGACTCGCATAGTTTCGCTTCCAGCAGACGAACATATGTTAATTAACCACATGTACAGTATGTATGAACCTCGGTTGGCATACGACTCTATGCTGAAACACTCGTCTCCTTCATCATCTTTTAATGGGTCAGCTGAGATGGAGAGGCAAGCCACGACCGCAAGTCACACCCACGTCTCTATGACGATAGAACTTTTGTGTGAAAGCCACAATCCCGCTTCTTCTTCACTTCCCTGCAACGAATGACAAACATGTCCTGTAGCTTTGTCTCTGACGTTATAGCTCGGTGGGATCGAGGAGCCAGATTAGCAAACACACGCGGGAGTAGCGAGGCAATGTCGGAAGGATCCGTACGATCGCAGGAAGCCCACAACTGTGACACCACGGGGCAATTCCGTGACGACTTACCGGGTTTAAACCACTTTGGCGTCATACCGCCGCTGCCTGGTCGGCTGTTCGGACGCTTGCTCTGCGAATTTCCCTGCTGCGCCGCCGACTCCGTCGCCGTGGAAACCGCGCTCTGCGGAGGCTGCTGATTGGATGGCAGAGCAGCCGATGCACGCGCGTCGTCGTCCGCCGGCCGTTGATCGCCGGCATTCAGCCTGAGGAGAGACGACGAGCGTCGCTCGTTAACCCATACAGAGTGTTACCGGTGAGGGCGAGAGCTACGAGTGAGGTGGCTCGATGTGGATGTAATAACGGGGTGGGCATACGTACGTAGGCAGAAACGTAAGTTACTGCAAGTTGGCAGTAGCCTAAACTGTAGTTTTTTTTATTTGAGGGGAAGATTCCCAGATTTAAAAGGTCGAATTTTCTAGGAATTCGAGGTTTTGAGACTAATTCAGACTTTTGCGTGAAGCGAGTTTGATTGCCTCAGACACGATAGACGTGTGAATTTCAACGCATTTCGAGGACCAAACTTAATAATAGCGTATTTTCCAGAACCATAGCCTATTTTCCAGAATGTCCCAGACCTAGAAAATGCCATTTAAAATTCCAAGACTAGAACTTTTCACAAACTGTTTCAACCACAATGAAAACATAGCGTCCCCGCTCCGGTGGAGTGGGGTTGGGGATGGTGCAAACGCGATTGATTGCAAACACGTTAAACTCCCTTACCATTTAGAGGCGACATCCTCTGCTGCCAACATGCTGCTGCTGCTCTCCGTGGCTTCAGCTGAGAGATACACGTCTGCAAAGATGATCCGTTCATCTCTCATGATCCACTTCACACGTGACGATTATTAAAGCGAAGATTTATTATTATTGGAGACGATCCAGATTTAATTACTGGAGAAGACAGTTAAAATGTCTGACTGCACGGAAAGTGTATGTGGAAAACTGCACGACCGGTCATGCGTAGCAAAGTGAGGAAGAATTTCCCTGATTTTCGTGTACTTCGGTTGAATTTCCTTGAATTTCGTATTATTTGAATTATTTTGTATAACTTTGTATTATATATATATTTATATATATATGTATATATATAATTGTATTACTTTTGTGTGATTTGAATTTATTATTTTGAATTATTTGAAGTCGACAGGATCAATTTGACTCCGTACAGGAAATATTTACCTAGTTGCTGTTCGCAGCCAAAGTGGACGACAGCGGCGGGGGCCAGACCCGACTCCAAGAGCAATCCCGCATCGTCCGATAGCACGACCTTAGGGGGCGCCGTGTCTGTAACGAGAAACGCACGACCTTGGGGGGCACTGTATCCTAAATAATAAAAAAGCACGACCTTGGGGGGGGGGGTACTGTATCTTAAATAATAAAAAAAGCACGACCATAGGGGGCTCTATATCGGAATCGACAAACGTAGTCTTTTTAGGGTGCGCCGTTTCCGAAACGAGGTATGTTCAAAGATATTGAAAACACCGAGAATCATTCAATAGTTATTACATTTTAGACTTATGACAGCCACAAGTATTCACAAAGTTTCCGACAACGGCCCGCCCCCTCCATCTAGAGATCGCCGATTTTTGGCGCCATCTTGTGAGACGTTATGCGATCATACTTACACAGGTAAAATGGCAGGTCTTTCTCTGCTAACAACTGCATCACAAACTTTCGCAACGTCCCAACTGTGAAGCAAAGATGGTAACAGAAGTTTACACGCAAGGCAACGTACTTGTAAACGCACTAAATGTTTGACAGTAATGACGACAAAGTAAGAGCAACTCTCAACATGGAGGCCCAGCCCTTACATGACAATATAAGTATACTTTCAGTGAAAATTCCAGGCATTAGTCGTAAACACACTCTCTCATGCGAGGATCACCGGATCCCCCGCTCGCCACGCTTTCACCGCGCATG